CATTGGCAAAGGTCAAAGTAAGTTAGAACGATATATCGGCGATGTATCTGCGTGAAATAATTATGCAACGCCAGCTGTATACTCGTGACAATTTTCTGCACGTGTACGACAAAATGCATTTTGTCACGAAATCGTTTGAACTTATCGACGAGAGGTAAACGTGGAACACGAATTTCTCAACGGAGGAACACGAATTATTATAATTTACGAAAGAGATACTTCGATGCTCGCTTGCATTTGAAGAATAATATCTCGGATGTTTCTTCGAACTTTGAAATATGCAAATTTTCGTTAACGCGAGCGAATTTCTCGATTGAACTTTACGTCGCGACATTTGAAATTCATTGAACAAAGTTTCCTTCGTTTCCTAAAATGAGAATTTCTACACAGTAACGCGAAACTTTTTAAAATTCGTCACTACCAATTTATTACTTACACTTGGCCGTTGTTTCACGCTGGCGTATGTTTAAAACGAGACTCGACGAGCGTGTCATACTTGTTAAGTCACAAGCACCTGCCAAGTTGAAATTAATTCGAGCAAGTAAGGCCGCCCGATTTGAATATACGTGCCTGCCGAGCCATTTCTTCTGGAATCTGAAGCCATTCACGTGTAAAGGTCATGTTTACTTTGACACTGCGACCCTGCCTCGCTCGGATCACCTGTACAGTGAGCGGATTCAACAGGAGGGTTCAGCTTGACGTCCGGACAAATGCAAAGCCGCGAGTGTCCCAATTTGCCATTGTGTCCTTTAATGCGCCCCTGACAACGTATAATGGCCAACATATTTAAAACTACCATTTTGATGGACGTCGTTGAAGTATACTGCATCGTACCGTATCGTAAACTGTTTGATACAGGTACACTTCGAGTCATAAAAAATTATGTATTTACTAGTTACGAATTTCCATTTGGGCAAATTGGGCAACTTTCACGAAAGAAATGCTACGCTCGCTTGAGCAGAGATATTTATTCCGTTATTTCATCTTAGGGCATTGATAATTATTAACGATTATTCTTTTCAATATTTTATCTTACATTTAATTTCGTTAGGTTACATTTATTCTGAATATTTTATCTTATAGCTTTGTGTCTTTATTTCACGTCTTTAAGCAACTTGTGAATGCACAGAAATTTGTGAGAACGATAAAAAGTACTAAATATCAGCAAATAATAAAATTTTAAGAACCATATAACACGCGTGGCGTTTATACGAAATTTTTACGCAAGAACTATCGTAAACATATGTGGAAATTAATCAGTATGATATATGAAAGAGTATTTAGTCAATAAATATTATACAAATCACCTTTTAATTACGGTTACCATTTTTTAATTCAGTGTGCTTGTAAGATTTCTCGTCTGAATTTCCGACATGACCTACTAATTTCTTTACTCTGTTAATTGGAACGTAATTTAATTAAAAACTCCTGTAATTGTGGAATTAAAAACTAATGAGAACAAGTTAATACCTCAGATCGATTTCAGTAATTTAAGTTAGTAGCCTAAATATGATATGGATTAGCGTTTCAAGTGATGAGTTGACACGTTTTCTCCACTTGAACAATTTAACAATTAAAGCTCTAAACTATTAAAATAGAACTAAAAAGCTACCTAAACAATTAAAATTCTAATACCAAACGCGGCGAAATGAATCCACGAATAAGTACGAATGAACTTTCAAATCGTGAGAATTCATATACTAAGTGGTTCGAATTTTTGAATTTGAGTAACGCAAGTGCTTGTGACTAGTATTCCAACACTTTCAGAAATTTTGTATAAATATAAATTTTGTATAATACGAGTGTTATATGGATCATTTCGAAATTTTATTATTATTCATTTGTTAGCTATAAATTTTATTATTAGCAACGTTTTATTGTTATCAACGTGATTACGCTGATGAAATTTGGAAAAAATTTTGAAAATGACATGGTTGTTCGTGAAAGTGTTTGAACTCTATTAGAAATGCATCTGTACGAATTATGAAATTATAAATTTTTATCAATATATGAATCTGATGTGGTTTTAGCACATGAATAATACACACGTTTCTCCGTTCTAAATGTTCGAACACTATCATAAATAACTAGATTTGAATCTATGCCATACATCTGTTCATGGGAAATCGAGTTACCAGCTTGAGACACACAGTGGATCTAACAGATTTTTGATATGTAAATTGGGCTTCTTCACTCTATAAATCTGAATGTCAATTCAGAGTTTTGGGGCTTAAGAACTTAGATATTCTATATCAGAACTCTTGGAATTTATGCTCTAAAGCTTTACGAAAGTAGTTACCTCAATCAGCAGATTTTGAACGTTTATACATATCAGGAAAATTTCAATTTGAAGTACAACAATGCTCAGAAAGTAAAACATTCGTTGTGATAGTAAACGAGTGATAATTCCTACATACATTCCACTTTTTGACACTAGAACTACCAAAGTGATCAAAGTGATCAATTCACAATTTTCTATGGAAATTTTACGTATTTGCAACAATACACTTTTAGACACTTGAGTGATTTTTAATAAAAATATATTAATAGAAGCTCGTGTTCTTTGTTGTATTGTTGATTTTCCTTTTGTACTCTGCACTTTAATTTTTTTTACCACAAATGTTATATTTTAAGTCGTCGGTGGTTCCAGTGTTAAAAATTTGTATTATTAGACATTTTTAGGAATCTCACAAACACACACATAAGAATTAAAAATATATAAACTCTCACCGATAAACAAATTCTATTTAATCCTTTTTAATCATACACACTAAAATATGAATTTGCATAGGCGCTGAGTTAAAAGTACTAAATTTTTGGAACACTTTTTAAACACATTTGCCTGTTCTCCGTGACAAAGCCGCAGATTTACAAAATTATTAGCTCTTATCGGCCGTACGTCGCAATTTTATGTTTCAGCTTCCGTATGAAGTATTATACTTCAGCTTATTCCAGGTTTCGAAATGTAAATTAGTAGCTACGTATTGCAGACGATCCAACGAGATCGAGCCTGTTATTCTTGCATGATAACCATTTACCTTGGTCGAGTACAAGGTCAGCAGTGATAATCACTATCGCAGCCTGAAAAAATGATGGCCGTATTCTATTCCGGTGGTTCTTTCACGTTAATCCTCCATCTAGATTCTCCACTCTTTCTTTCCTTTTTTTTCTTTCTTTCTTTTATACCCCATTCAACGGACTTCAATGCGCCGCTATTACGATTAACGACTGCAGTCATTATTCTCGGCGTTATTTCGCTCCCGCGCGAAAGCATCTGCGAGAGCCGTGTTGACACTGCTTCTTCTAAACCAACGCGAGCAGAAAAACGACAGCGGTTAAATCGTTCTGATGAATTCGCGAATGTGTGGTTTAAGGATCGCTGAAAGACGGAACGACGATTTTCAGAACGAGTTTGGGTGTATACGAGTGAAGAGATCGGGAAACAAATGTTTCGAGATTTGGCGGATGTAGATTTTTAGATTTTTAAATGTAGACGCGTGGATTCATAATTCCCAAATAATTTGGAACTTTTAACTCTTGACTGGACCATTGGCAATAATAATAAGAATTTGGAATTAGAATCCTTTGATTTAATTGAATTTTGTTGCTCATCTCTATCGCGGAGAGTATAAAGTGCAATGTGAAAGCCAATTATCTTGAATTTCCATTATTATTTGACACAATTATTATTTGACGACATTTGTTTCCCGATCCAGTGATATTATTTGGAAATTGAATAAAATTCGTAGGTAAATAAATTAACAGAACTCGTAGGCGAACGTGTGGAAGCGAACGTGAATTGATATCTACGGCTGAAGTAGAGTAGATCGTGCATTGGTCAGGCTCAGAGTCAGACATTGGTGATGCCATTGTCTTTCCACTTTTTTTTTTATAAAAGTTGTACACACAACAATTGCTAATATTATATTTTCACGAAACGTTGAAAATCTCTCAACTTAAGGGATTTTCCTAAAACAATTATATTTTCTAATTATATTATAAATATTTAATTTTATTGTATACGTTATTTGTGTATATTATATTTCCATAAAACGTTGGCCTAATCTAAAGCATTTGTACTTTCTAATTATATTATATTATAAATATTATATTTCATTAATTATATTAGTACTAATATTATATTTATTAATTATATTATATCATAGATGTTATATTTTATTAATTATATTTATTACTAATATTATATTTACTAATTATATCATAGATATTTTATTAATTATATTAGTACTAATATAATTTACTAATTACTAATTACATTTTATCATAAATATTAATTAATTTAATTCTATTGGTATGTATTGTTCAATACAACCATACAATCTATGATTATGCATTATTTTAGATCTCTGTTTATCTGATATAATGTCTCATACATTATATAATAATAGAACAAACGCTCGTGCGTATATTCCTAGTACTTTGAAAGGTCGATGCAGCATTTTTGCGGAATTGGCCCAGAATTCTCACAATATTCTGCGTCTGTTTTTCGCTTAAAGTCAATATTTGTTTCATTCTTTTGAATCCAACCTAGTTACGATTGCATGATGCTTTGTAGTTAGCTGAAGATTACTGATAATGGTTTCTGTCCCCGAAGATTTTTGTAGGTTAATTCCTTTCTCGAAAAGACAAGAAAAGAGATAAGAGAAAATATTTCTCTTGTACACTGTTCTTCTGTTTTGATTACCTGTATCGTATTATTATTTCTTTGAAACTTAAAATGAAATTTTCCTTAATATCCTGAAGCAAAGTTTGAGACGTTTAAGACGTCCGCAATTTTCGAAAAGAATTTACATAAACGTAATTTCTATACTTATCTTTACATTTTCTTTTTACCTTTATCACATACATTTGATACAAAGTTTCTCTACGTTTAATTTACAATTACGGTACGGTTAAATTACATTTGCTGTTTGTTTGGTATAATAAGAAACAGTTGTTATGATTAAATATTGTTAATTGCGTTTAATTGTTTGTTTCAGGTAAGTGACAATTCAAGGGATCTGTCTTCTCTGTCGAGTGAGTAACTGAATTTTAATGTGTACAGCGACGATTTATTAAAATCACGTGGATTGGATAATTCCACGTAAAAATACAGTTTCAGTAGAACGTGAGAAGCAATTACCCGCCTCGAAAACGAATGTCGATAAACTTCGATTATAATAATATGAGACCGGGTAAAAGGTGAAATTAAGCTATTTCTTTCATAACCAATGGGTGGTTAAATTTTTAATATAAATATTAAGTGGAGGTCGATCACTTTTAATTACCTGCTTTCATTGAAGCTTAATTTTCATTAATCACGCTGCCACGCTCACTGTCTATCGAACCTCGAAATTTAAAATTCAACATTAACATTGAATTAAAATTCAAAATTCCACGTTCAATTTATCGTGGCAACTCCATCCAGTGAATTTGAACTTTTTCCCGCGTAATCGATTATTTCGCTATTGCATTATATTATTGCGTTTTTAACAGCTTGATACGTTTATCATAACATAGTCTGTATTATGATGCTAATGTGACCGATTAAATTCATAGATAAATTTTATATGACAAAATTAGTAATAAACTCCGGAGATTATATAATAATTTACTATCAAATTTAATAGCCCGCGCTGAGACAACCAAATAGATCTCGTAAAGGGCTACATGCCACGTGCGATGAAAGTTATGCCATTTGAACTATCAGTTTACAACTTTTTATTGCCTTGCGCGTTTTATTACACGCTGGCAGTGAGATTATATCTTCATGCATCCCATTATCTGGATTTGTATTATCAACGCGCGAAATGTTGGTTTCATTACGATACTTTCGTGTTTGCGGCTGCAACCTTCGTTTGCGTTGTTCGAGTTTTACTGTAATGACATGGAAGCTGTGTAAACCGATTTCCCTTGGGACCACCGTTTTGAAGCGCAGCTTTTTAAATCTCCAATTTAAAAAGGAATATCTCCATTACGATTTAACTCTGATAAACTTCTGCCTTCAAGCTGCAGAATTACATATTTTGTCAAACTTTGTACTTTCAGTCAAAGGAATGAAACTCGCGCAGAAATTACGAATATTTAACAAATGAAAGAAACAAAATAAATATTAAAATATGAAACAATATTAAAATGAATATCAAAATAAAATTAATTGAATATTAAATTAAATATTACATTTGATATTAAAATGAAGAGAAAGTTACTAAATAAATATGTGTATAATAAATATTTAAATATCTAATTGTGACAACTACATACTCCAATAGAAGATGCAAAATTTGCAGTATCAAGTATAAATATTTGCGTCTTCAAATTTTCTAAAATCTGCCTATCTATCTTCAGTGTTCATCCAGTTATATAACTTATTCAATTATTTCTCTCTCGCAACAGCGTTTAATAAATTCTGCTGTATCAGCTTTCAAACCAATACAGTAATAACATAAAAAGTTGTCGTAATCGGTTTGAATAATTAGATTTCAACTGTTGGCTATTGTTGTACGTTCCAATTAGCAAACACTTTTAAAGAGACTCAACGATACGTTCGATAATTGCATTAATAGTTCCACTTGTTACCAATTTTGGTCTCCTAAATGAGTAAACTAGATACGTGGGAGGCACTGAATTATATACTATAAGCCGGCTTTCACGGTTCAACGAGATCCCAGATTGCGCAAACGAGTTCGCGGTAGTTTCTGTCAAAGTTGAGTTACTGTCAATGTCAAACAGCGATAGCATATAATGTCGTTCACATTTAACTACATGGGAATCGATAAACGAATCTAGTTACGCAACAGGCCCTCTCTTGTTTCATTTCACTACAGTATGCAGGCAGTAAACGTTAAACGAAAAACACTACCTTCCATTCCTTTTCGTGATGTTTAAATTAAATTTTGATGGAAAAACCAGGAAATTTTTAAACTCGCGAAACGCTCCCGTTTAAAAATTGAAGTACAAAAGACAAAGAAAATGGTAGAATTTTGTGCATACGGTGGTTCACGAAAATGTTCGAACAGTTATAGAAATCTTTTACGAATATATATCGTGTTGTACGGAATTTTTTGAAATTTTGTACAACCATCATGGTTGTTGTTCATCAAATTTAGGAGGTAAAAAAGATACAAGACATTTATTGCAAATATATTTTGTAGAATTTACAGAAGATAATTTGAACAATTATAAAAGCCAAATTCATTTTTCGTGATGTTTGATGTTCTCAAAATAATTCTCATTCATTTGAAGTGTAGCAATTAAATTATTATTACTGCCCCGTTTATCGATTACGCTTCGTACAAAATGCGAACAATGCCGCCAGAAATCACAGGATAAAATTACCTTTTCACTAATTAGTGACACACGATTTTTATAATAATGATATCACCGGGTAATTTTTAATAAATTGATAAAGATAATTTAAGACGTAAGATAAATAATAACGATAGTTACGTTTTAATTATTTAATTATTAAATTTTTAATATTTAGAACTTTTTAACATTTAAAAAAGTTTTTAATGTTTAAAAATATTTAATATTTAAAAATATTTGATATTTTTAAAAATTATTTAACATTTAATTATTAATTTCGTCTCACAAACACAACTTAACGTATTCGTAAGAAATTTCCATATTAAATATTCAATTATTGCTTTTATATACATACTCGTCCATGCGTACAATGGGGAAAGATCTCGCATAAAATATGATTGTGTATTTTGGGAAGCTTTCGAATGAAATATGACGAGATGGTTTAGCGATGAACGCAGTCGTAAACTTGACGTTCAGAAAGGTAAATACGCAACGTGAAAGTACGAGTGTTATGTAAATGCCAAGTCCAAGTGCACGACGGAAGTTCCGTGACGTAAATACGCTCGAAGAATTCGCGTGACATCTATTTGCGCGACACCTTTCAGCAGTTTGTTGCCATAACATCGTTACCTTCGTGGCGCTTGATAAGCCGCGATTCAGCCGTAATGGGTGCTTATATTTAGTCGATTGCTCTTCGATGAATGCGCGCGTTCTTAAACAACACAAACAGCGTTTCCACGTGGCACAAAGAAGCACGCGACCCAGAAAAAAGAATCCCCTTCCCCCCTCCCGGTATAAAAAGCGTGGAAGGATATCGATCGTCGCGGCAGAAAAGGCTAATTAACTAGTCTGGTTTTTCCAAGGATGATACGGCGAAACTTATTGTTTATTATCATGCAGCTTCTCATTCATCAGACGAGCCGCTGATCGACAATGCGATCGTTCATCGTTTAGAAAGTGGCGACAAAGAAGGATTTATATATCAATTTTCAAAAGGCTAGTTCTTTCTTGTTTTAATTGCTTCATGTTGAAAATACTTTTTAGCTCGATGGCTGAGAAGGAGGATTTTTATTTAAAAGAAGGATTTGGAGAATTAAGGTTGACGAGAAAGGAGTGAGATTTTTAATTCATTTTATCTCTTGCCTTCTTTAGCGAATATTTTAATCGGAGATAGTTAAATAAGCTTGGTGATCAACGAGAATTTCAACATGATACAGTTAAAAAATTGCGATGCTTCACTCATTGTTATATAGCGTTGTATGTATTATTGTGTTTGCCGATGTGAAATCACTTTGGCCTGTTTCTATGGCCTAGATCAATCAGAATGCGCAATTCTTCCAAGTGCTTTTTTTTCCTCTCGGCAAATAATGCTCAATCATTGTACGTACACATGTGTACGTCTTTCGTTTATTTCATTTATCACGTGTGATATCGTTTCTGATAATACTTGCTGTTGTTTGACGATAGCAGGAATAGTGTCAGTTTTTTTTTTTTTTTTTTTTTGTATCAAACGGAAGTGATTTATCAACCGTTGGAAGGGAAAGCCATTTCCTGTTCTCCGGTTCGTTTCTTGGTATCTTGCAAGAAGAAGCCTTATCGCTGTTGGTAAGGTAGATATCTAGGGAGCTTTTGCCAGCTCGTACTCGGTACAACTCTGACTTTTGATATCCTACCTTACCAGTAGTTTTCAAGCTCGCTGAGAATGAACTTCCGGTCACCTGGCGCAACCTACTTGGGCTCTAGAAAATTTTTATACGAAACCTTGAGTATCGTTCAAAATCTAACATTGATAATTATTAATTTACATTGTTCGTAAATTCTTACACTATTCTTACAATATTTTTTTCTCCGATTATTTCGAAATATAGCATAATCCAAATATTATTCAGTAAATTCAGTAAACTACCCTCGTTTAGTCGTAATTTTTGAAATTCAAATTTCAAGTAATTTAAACTGTGATGATTTCAAATAATTTTCGAACTAATTTAATAATTTTAAATAATCTGAAATTTAATAATTTCAAGTAATTTGAAATTAATTTGAAATAGAGATCTTTTCGCGTCTTCTTCGAAACAAAATTGTCCGACGAAGTATCGAGAGAGTAAAATGATCGTTTTTTATCAGATGAGCGTCAAAATTAATTTCTGCGCTCTCTCAGACGTATTCAATTTTAAACTTCGCTCAGCCCTTTGTTATTTATCTTCCATTTCAAACAGAATAGAAGATAAACAACAATTGATGGGGCCAGTAATCAGGCTATTTCGAGTGTGATATATAACTTGGCTGAGGTTGTTATCAGCGGTTGCCACCCCTCTTCTGTATCGCGATGATGGCTCTCCGCTCTATCTAGTTCCAAGTTTCTTATCCTCCTATTTTGACGAAAGTGGGGCTCTCAGTGTAGCGAACCCTACTTATCCCGGAGAGGGATTATGAAAATCTTGAATGTTCACTTCGCTAAGATCCCGAGTAATAAGAGCGAGATACGATGACACTGATCATCTCGCGATTTCGTTTCGCCGAGAGCTAAAGCGTGTACGCGCGCTAGGAATTTTTGTCCTGCTCGAAACATACACATCAATCACTTTTCCCATCGTTCGAATTAAATCCAGATTTATTTCACGGCATGAATTCTAAAGCGCGCAGAGTCCTCGTTTGCCTTTTTACTTTGAGCTGAAATTTTAACAGGAAAATTAGAATATATGGACGTACATTTGGGGCAGAGAACAATGATAGATCGTTGTTTTATCCAAGATCTTGTTTTTGAAACGGAGCCTCAATATAAATGCAAATTCTGCGATTCAATGAAGCCAACTTGCGCGAATACTTACGACCAACATTTTTATAATAATGAAATTGTCCTACGTGTAAAATTTCTCACTACGATAACA